ACGGACAGACAGCGACAGCTACTTTGTTTTATACTATGTAATGATATAATATTAATAATTTATGTATTAAGTAATTCTTGTTTTAAAATTCTTCTTCTTGCTTCTTTTTGGTTTATAAGCACTTTTCTTACGGGTACTTATATAACTGTTTTAGTACTTTGTCTTGTAATTAACAGAAATAATTTAATCTTTAATGTATGATTATAATTTAAATGAATTTAATAACATATTAACTATTACAGTACACTTCTTTCACTGCCCACATTAGCATCATTAAAACACTTTCATTTAACATATTTAGCAAGCAATTAAATAGAAGTTTCTCGAATTCTCAACTCATTTTGTATGCCAACTATTTGGGAGAGGTTTTTTTCGGACTACTCTGATGCTTGGCCGCAGCTGGCCTTTACAGCTTCACCGGACGATAGGGGCGAGTGCAGATAGCACTCCAAACCAAAGGAAGGGCTGAAGGTCAACTCCCGCTTCACGGATTCGACTTTAGTCTGAGGGCACCGCTAGGGATTTGAACCTCGGCTCAGACCGTCGTAATTTTGATCCCCGTTTGAATTGGACGGGGATCGAAAATACGACTTTTGGGAGAGGTATACGAGCTAATTGCACAAGTAGAACGAATCTATTATATATATATATATATATATATATAAGAGATGTAAGACTCGTACAGTCATTTATAATATTGAAATTATTTATTTTTCTATCATAATACCAGAGGTAGACTCCAAAAACCCATCTTCGTTTGTACCTCAGTGTCTCATAATACAGCCAAGCAGCTTGCTTTGTAAGCTATTTAAATTGTAGACAAAAAGAACTGATAAGAAACTCAACTCGTATTCGCTTGTACAATTACAAAAATACAGATTCATTTTTAAATTCAATTAGGGATAATGTAGTGACCATCATCATTAGGCTTAACAGTATTTTTGTTAAAAGGAAATAATTTTATTAGAGGCCGTAAACTGAACAAAAGAGCATTTTTTTTTAAAATATTTTGAATTGAAGAACCACAATTACGGCCGTGTACAACTGAAGTCTATTAATGTTATAGAATAGAAATAATCTTTATTCAAATAAACTTAATATAAGCACTTTTGAATAGTCATATTTTTTATTCCACCTCATTCGGAACGCACATTCATCATAAGAAGAATGAGGAAAAACTTGTGTGTTGCTCTTTTAAATAAATGTTTTAGGTAAATACACATTAACAAGGATTAGGAATGCGATAATCAACATAGAAATCACTACGCACTCAATCTTCGTGTAATCAGATTGCATTGATTGAATTGATCAGCTGACAATATTGTCAGCGCTATGAATTTTAAGTTATATTTTTTACTAGCTGTCCCCGCGACTTCGTCCGCGTGGAATTTTAACTTTACTTTTTAAAATAAAAGATCTTTCTAAAATAAAAGTAGCCTATGTTACCCCTTATTACATCAGCTACCTGCCAAAAAAAGTCCCGTCAAAATCAGTCCAGCCACTTCAGAGATTAGCCGGAACAAACAGATAGACAAACAAAAATTGTAAAAAAATGTTATTTTGGTACATGTACCGTATTTATATTCATATGCATGTAGTAAAAAACGGTTATTTCAATATTACAAACAGACAGTCCAATTTTACTTATATGCATAGATGATATACGTACAGACATCAATTCAGCCCACGTATAAAATCACAGCGGTGTTTAGTATTCGATATGTGGTCGATATAAATATGTAAGTAGGTATCTAGGTGCTCGGTACAGATTTAGAATGGTAATCTTACTGAATGTTTTAAACACGAAAAGTGAGTATGGATGGATGTTTGTTGCTCTTTCACGCAGAAACTGCTGAACGAAATGTAATGATACTTTACTGTAATATAGCTTATACATCAGAATAACATATAGGCTATAAATTTCACGCAGGTAAAACCGCGGGCAGAGCCAGTATATCTATATAAGATGGAAAGGGGATTTTAAGTAATGTGAATGAATAACCCTAATATGTAGAAATAGAAATAGAAATAATCTTTATTCAAATAAACTTAATATAATATATACATCAGACACACATTTAGAAAGATGTTATGTAAATTGGACAAAATATTATATATCTATATTCATTTTTTTTTTTCGGACTACTCTAATGCTGTTGGCCGTAGCTGGCCTTTACAGCTTCACCAGACGTTATGGGGCGAGTGCAGATGGCACTCCAAACCCGCGGAAGGACTTATGGAGCGGCTGAAGGCCAACTCCTGCCCGACGGATACGACTTTAGTCTGAGGGCACCACTAGGGGTTCGAACCTCGGCTCAAGCCGTCGTAATTTCGATCCCCGTTTGAATTGGGCGGGGGATCGATCGGAGGGGTCTATATTTATTCTTTGCACACAAAATTGTATACATGGTGGACTTAATGCCTGATGGCATTCTCTACCAGTCAACCGACGCGTTGATCAGAGATAGTATAGCGGTGCAATTTTACAAGTATTAAATAGATTAATACAGAAAAAAATATGTATATAGGTGTATATATTATATTCATGTAGGTGTATTATAGACTCTTATGATATGTCAAATCTACCGTCAGTTCGGAATGATTTCGAGATGAGAACTGACAAGAAACTCAGCTCGTATTCTTTTCAATAAGTCAACTTCGTCTGTATCGCACTTACTTGACATTCATCATTATATTTCGCCCAATTTACATAATATCTTTATAAATTATAGCCTATATGTTATTCAGATGTATGAGCTATATTATTATAAACTTTCATTAAAGTCCGTTCAGTAGTTTTTGCGTGAAAGAGTAACAAACATCTATCCATACTCACAAACTTTCGTGTTTATAATATTAATAAGATATATATAAACAACTAGCTGTTAAAACAATTTATCTTTATTTTTCTAAAATAAAAGTAGATTAAAGAACTAAAAATTATTTTGTTCGTCTTAATTTATTCGTTCCATTAGGTACTGATAGGTTCAAACTAATACATTTACATCCTGCATCATCCCTTATTTTATCCCCATGGGGGTTGAATTTATCAAAATCCTATTTAAGCGAATGTCTCCATCATAGTTGCTCCAATCTTTAATTTCAGTTCATACAGTCGAAAATCTAAGAAGATTTATACAAACTTTCATCCTCTACTTTATCCCCTTAGGGGTGGAGTTTTTTAAGTGAACGTCTTCATCATAGTAGTTCCAATCTTTAATTTCAGTTCATACAGTCGAAAATCTAAGAAGATTTATACAAACTTTCATCCTCTATTTTATCCCCTTAGGGGTTGAATTTATCAAAATCCTATTTAAGAGAATGTCACAAACTTTCATGTTTATAATATTAGTAAGTTGTAATGATAAATGGCTCAATGACTTTAAAAAACTATTTTCTAAGACCTTTGCGTTGAATCTTTATCATCATTACATAGTATAAAATAAAGTCGCTGTCGCTGTCTGTCCGTCCCTATGTATGCTTATCTTTAAAACTACGCAACTAGATAGAGTAATTCAAGAGGAAGGTTTTTTTTTTGGATGATAATGAAATGGTGCACCCGCCTGCGCTAACGGTTTACGCTGGCGGGGCACCAGTGGAGGATGATAAGATGAACATGAGATCAGGTCAGTTAGCACATCGTGACAATTTATTCATTCATTCATTATCACGATGGTTTCCAGGAGGAACCGCGTGGAGGTCGACCTAACATGGTACATTGCTAGTAATTGGGTGATGAGTCCACATTAGTAACAATCTCCTTCCCCCCAAGAGGAAGGTTTTTTTTATGGATGATAATGGAATGGTGCACCCGCCTGCGCTAACGGTTTACGCTGGCAGGGCACCAGTGGAGGATGAGCATGGGGTCAGGTCAGTTAGCCCATCGTGACAAATTCACCAGGAATTTATCACGATGCTTTCCAGGGGGAACCGCGTGGAGGTCAACCTGACATGGTACATTGCTAGTAATTGGGTGATGAGTCCACATTATTAACAATCTCTTTCCCCCGTGCGAAGCCGGGGTGCGTAGCTAGTAAAAAATAAAACGTTAAAAAAGCAATAACCCTAAAATCAGGTCAAGAGAAAGTGACCATACAGATATCTCACATTCCAAATATGAATTAAAAATTTGCACGCGCGAGTTTTCGAAAACGATACTCGATTATTTATATCGATTACATATCGATATCGAATTGATAATTTCTACTATATAGGGAAATTGTTCGAATCGATTTTGAAAAAAAAACTCGTTGTAAACGTGTCTAAATTGGAAAGCGGTTAAATGAGGGTTTAGTGTGCCCTTAATAACTTTCTATTTTAATTGTTGAAGGAAGTAATTACGTGAAACATTATGGTTTGTAACCGCGGTTTATTGCGAGTTAAACTTGTTTGTGATATTTATTCTCGGTGGTCTAGCGAATTATATAGATTCTCTGGGAGTTTGGTAGTGGTTGCATCTGTTTTTGTAATTGAAAATACAAATCATAATACATGTTATAAACACTAAACAAACACAAAATTATTATGTTTTATAGTCTAGCGGTTTAACACATCGCTTCATTTCCAATGGTTGCGAAATCGATTCCTCGCACGCTACAAACGTTTGTATTCCTGAGTATGATTGTTTGTATGGGGTCATGTTATAGTAATAATAATCTCAGGTTAATTCACACAGCGCCATCTAGTCCCAAGTTACGCTAGCTATAGTTTGCGTTATGGATACTAGATAACTGATACAATTGCATAACTTTTCTTGTAAATACATACACATTATACATGAAAAACACCTAGACCGATACAAACAAACACACATGTAAATACACAATATACAAAATATAAATACACAATAACAATCATCATGAATACAAATGTTTGCACCATGCACGGAATCGAACCCGCGACCATCGGAAGTAATGCGGTGTGCTAAACCGCTAAACCATCGAGGTCGTCATGTGATAAAATAAAGTAAAAGTGTTAATGAGTTTTTTATCTTATTTCAGATCATATATTATGAACACGCGCAGCATCAGCATCATTACGACCATGAGGAAGAACACGGCTGGGGACCCTGGTCCAGGAGTATGGATCCTCCAGTAAGTAGAACAGCTTCCTCCAAGAATTTTTTTTTCGGACTACTGTTGGCTGCAGCTGTCCTTTACGGCTTCACCGGACGATAGCGGGCGAACAGTTCCAAACTAGAGGAAGTACTTTTTTTTTAACACAGGGGACAAACGAGCATGCGGCGCGCCTGATGGTAAGTGATTACCGTCGCCCATGACCACCAGTAAAACCAGGTAAATTGCAAGTACGTTGTCGGCCTTTTAAAAATGAATAAGCTCTTTTCTCGAAGGTTTCAATATCGTATCGGTTAGTATCGGTAGGTAAGTATAATAATTTTCTCCAAGAATAAAATTTTGCGGACTACTCTAATGCTGTTGGCCGCAGCTGACCTTTACAGCTTCACAGGACCATAAGGGGCGAGTGCAGATGACATCCCAAACCAAAGGAAGGACTTATGGAGCTAAGGCCAGCTCCTGACGGATATGAGCCATGAATAGAAGTCATGTTAATTAATTTATACTAATGACTATTACTACGGACATCACGTTATCATGTGACACCCGTGATAGCGTGATACTCATAATGACAAAGATGTCATAACTCTTTTCTTATAACTAGCTGTGTCCACGACTTTATTCGCGTGGTTATCAAAAACACTATGCTCATTTAAAGAGGAATAATTCTTTCATACATATTTTTTGGGTGACTTGAACCGTTTAAGCGCACGCAACGGAAACCCTCAAATATGAATAATTTTCCCAGTTTTTGCAACATTTTTCATTGCAGCTCCGCTCCTATTGGTCGTAGCGTAATGTTATATTTTAAGCTATATAACATTACGCTACGACCAATAGGAGCGGAGCTGCAATGAGAAATGTTGCAAAAACTTGCCTTCCTCGACAAATGGACTAACCAACACGAAAATAATTTTTCAACTCGTACCAGTAGTTCTCGAGATTAGTGCGTTCAAACAAACAAACAAACTAACATACTCTTCATTTTTATAATATTCGTATAGATTTCACTGCCTTATCTTATACTTCAACTGAAACAGATCAAAGAAAGTGGACTGTTTAAAAGCTGAATTAGGTAAAAGGTTTTTGTAACAAGAAAGGTATTACACTATTATTTTCTAGCTTCATTCGCGTAAAAATTATAGCTTATTTGTTATTCTGATGTATAAGCTATATTATTGTAAAGTTTAATCAAAATCCGTTCAGTAGTTTTTGCGTGAGTAACAAACATCCATCCATACTCACAAACTTACGCACTTATAATATTAGTGATATTTACTCAAGTAATTGGTTGTGTATTTAATATTTTGACTGTAATGAATTGGTGCTATTTGGTAATTTATATAACCTAAAAATATAAATTTACAATTATTAAAAAGAGCAACACGCAAGTTTCTTGCTCGTTCTTCTTGTGATGAGACCTTTCCGAATGAGTGATACATAAAAAAAATAAGTAAGACTATTCAAAAGTTTAAATATATCATTTTCTATTATGTTCCAGGATACAGAAGTCGAGGTTGAAGATCTACCCCAATCACCGTACGCCGCACAAGAGCGCCCCCTGCAGTATTACCGCCCCTTATTAACTAAAGATTAATTATAGGATCTAGAAGAAATAACTGAAACTTTCCATAGTAATTTAAGAAGAAACATGTTCGTAAAAATTTAAAAAAATTGGTATTTTATAATTGTAGAGCTGTCTCTCAGTCCCGGCCAATTCAAACGGGGATCGAAATTACGACGGCCTGAGCCGAGCTTCGAACCCCTAGTGCTGCCTCAGACTAAAGTCGTATCCGTCAGGCGGGAGTTGGCCTTCAGCCGCTCCATAAGTCCTTCCTTTGGTTTGGAGTGCCATCTGCAGTCGCCCCCTATCGTCCGGTGAAACTGTAAAGGCCAGCTGCGGCCAAAAGCATTAGAGCAGTCTGAAATAAAACCGTTACTTTTTGATGATATATCTGTATATACCCTCCCTTCCGCTCCATATTTTTCCCTGATGAGAGTAAAAGAGACAACTGCAGTTCATTCTGATTATACTTGCAAGCTATATACCTCCGTTTTTCCACCAAAACCGGACGATTTTCAATTTCTTCTGAGAATGTGATTCTACGGCTATTTCAATATTTTGTTTGGGAGCCTACTGAATTCGTAATATTAGAACGCTTCAAAAATAACAAAAACATGCTTGTATCAAATCAAATCAAATCAAGATATCTGCATGCTTGTATCAAACCAAAATATCTTCATTCATGTAGGTCTATTACAGACTCTTATGATATGTCAAATCTATCGTCAGTTCTGAGAACATTCGAGCTAAGAACTGATAAGAAACTCAAATGAGCTTGTACGTCATTACAGAAATACTAATGCATTTTTAAATTCAATTAGGGAAAATATCGTGCTCATAATAAATCTAAATTTAATTGTAAAAATGTCCACTCTAGTGAGATATCTATCGAGGGAGAAAATAAGGGAGTACGATCATGTGGAAACTACCCACGTTTCTTCTTAAATCTTTAGATATGAAGTTAACCTACAAGTCGATTACATGTATTTACTTGTATGTAAATTTTTGAGCCTAAATTAGGATCAAAAAGCTCAGTAGAGTATCTAAAATCTTGTAAATATATAACTATTCAACTGTAATACCATTTGGAGTTAACAGAGATTGAACTATCGACTGTTAATTCTAAATGTATGGATTAATAATCTCTCTGAATATTCTAAGAGATTTCTTAAGATTTCAGTCGTGAGAAATTAATTTAAGTTAATTTAATTATTTATTTTAATAATGTAATGTTTTATTTAATCAATTTAAAAAGGGGATGATACTATATTCAACTTCACACCTGTTTTACTTTATAACAAAGTTTTTGCTTCCAAATAATTGAATTATTTGTAAATATTCAACGTTAATTTGTTATTATTAACTGGTTTAATTTTTAACAAACTAAAGAAAGAAAGAAAAAAGAAAAACATTTATTGTCAACCATTATTACATATACACATTTGACAATTGTACACTTTTATGTAATTTTTCTGGGAGGTTGGTAGTGGTTGCATCTGTTTTTGTAATTGAAAATACAAATCATAATACAAGTTATAAACACTAAACAAACATAAAATTATTATGTTTTATAGTCTAGCGGTTTAACACATCGCTTCATTTCCAATTGTTGCGAAATCGATTCCTCGCACGCTACAAACGTTTGTATTCCTGAGTATGATTGTTTGTATGGGGTCATGTTATAGTAATAATAATCTCACACACACACACATATGCACACACACACTCATATACATACATACATACACACTTAGAACAATTACAATAATTCATCTTATATTATTTCTACATAATAATATGGTTGGCAACATGGCTGACACTCAGCATATGCCGTGACAGCTAACTGTCACGGCGCTGGTATTCTGTGCCTGCCATTAGTGACAACACGTGCAGCTCGATGTCAGTTATTTTGACCTTTGACATCTGTCAGATGACAAATCAATCAAAGAACTACAAGAATTGTAAAATAATTGAATAAATTTCGTTGATTCTTGCAATGTATATTAGTCCTATAGTAATAATGATTTTAATAAAAAATATACTATTTTAATATATATTATATTGTGTATAAGTGATAGTCTCACTTGACCAGACAATGCTTTATTTGGATTAAAAATTATCATCAAAATCGGTTTATAAAACACATTATTCTATTATATTGTTTATTATATTGTACCAATGGTCCCTAATGTGAAACATTTAGCCGACTGTACCAACGGTCCCTAATGTGAAACATTTAGCTGACTGTACCAACGGTCCCTAATGTGAAACATTTAGCTGACTGTACCAACGGTCTCTAATGTGAAACATTTAGCTGACTGTACCAACGATCCCTAATGTGAAACATTTAGCTGAATGTACCAACGGTTCCTAATGTGAAACATTTAGTTGACTGTACCTACGGTTCTTAATGTGAAACATACTGTACCAACGGTCCATAATGTCCCCATCCGATCGATCCCCCGTCCAATTCAAACGGAGATCGAAATTACGACGGCCTGATCCAACGTTCGAACCCCTAGCGGTGCCCTCAGACTAAACTCGTATCCGTCAGGCGGGAGTTGGCCTTCAGCCGCTCCATAAGTCCTTCCTTTGGTTTGGAGTGCCATCTGCACTCGCCTCTATCGTCCGGTGAAGCTATAAAGGCCAGCCGCGGCCAACAGCATTAGAGTCCGAAAAAAACCTTACATTCGATGATCACGGGTTCGATTCTCGCACGATCTAAATATTATTTATGAGTATGACAGTTTATATATGTACATAGTTCGTAAATATTCACGCAGCGCCATCTAGTCCCTAAATAAGAAGCTCTGTTTTGTTAGGGACTAGATGGCGCTGTGCTATGAACTAGTACTATGAATAACATATAGTAATACTCATATATGTACATAGAAAACATGTAAACTGATACTATTTTATAAGTTAATATATGTATGTATGTGTAAGTTTGTAATTCTTTATTGTACATGTCTACACATATAAATAAAATTGGAGTGTCTGTTTGTAATATTGAAATAACCATTTTTTACTTCATGCATATGAATATAAATACGGTACATACACCAAAATAACATTTTTTTTTTACAATTTTTGTCTGTCCGTCGGTCTGTTTGTTCCGGCTAAACTCTAAATGGCTGGACCGATTTCGACGGGACTTTTTTTGGTAAGTAGGTGATGAAATAGGGAGTAACTTAGGCTACTATTATTTTCGAAAAATTAAATTAAATTCCACGCTGACGAAGTTGCGGAACAGCCAGTTATATATATAAAAAACATAATATGTGCAATAAATAATTACAGACAAACATATATTTTGTATAATACATACAATAATATAAAGATTGTTATATTATTCATACATATGTTTGTTTTTCGAATTTTGTAAAGCGATGTGAATACTTATAAAGTGCATATCTTTTATGAATATCGCCATAATGTGTATGAACTTAATTTATTATGTATGATTGTGTTGTATGACTATTTATTAAATGTATTATCTGATTTTTTTAAATGAAATGCCTTATTATTTAATATTTATGTATTTATTATTTAAAGTTTATATATCATCTTAATGTTATTTATATTATAAACACGAAAGTTTATGAGTGTGTATGTTTGTTACTCTGTCATGCAAAACTGAACGGATTTTGATGACTGTTTACAGTAATATAGATTATACATCATAATAACATATAGGGTAGATGCTGTTCAAGTATTACGTAAGATTTATTACAATTATTTACCCCTCATCCCCATTGTCAGCAAAAGTAAGCAAAGCTCTTACCATCTCCCCTCATGATTACGTAAACTTTCCTCAATTAATGTATTGTTTTTAACAAAGACAATTTGAGTGTTGCCATTCGTGTGAAAAAGTAAATAACTGCCGATGACGTAGTCATCATCTAGACTCTCCCACCCTCCATGTCATCCAAGATAAGCAAAGCAAAGAAATAGTGCTTACGTAATAATTAATATACAATTAAATATGATTTAAAAGAAATTGGGCGAAATATAATCATAAATATTGCAGACATAGTTGCTCGGATCAGCTAGCTGTAAATAGATTGAAGGTTACTTAAATAATATGGCAATTTTTTTAATTACTCTCAAGCAAATGAGTTGTTGTATGCATGTGTACCTACACGTTATTGTCTATGACATATGTCATTTTAAATGCAAAATGGCGGACTTGTTACGATCAACAACACCGCCTCCGATCGATCCCCCGTCCAATTCAAACGGGGATCGATATTACGACGACCTGAGCCGAGGTTCGAGCCCCTAGCGGTACCCTCAGACTAAAGTCGTATCCGTCAGGCGGGAGTTGGCCTTCAGCTGCTCCATAAGTCCTTCCGCGGGTTTGGAGTGCCATCTGCACTCGCCCTCTATCGTCCGGTGAAGATGTAAAGGTCAGCTGCGGCCAACAGCATTAGAGTAATCCAAAAAAAAAAAAAAAAGGTCAACAATATTAGAATAGTCCAAAAAAAAAAAAGGGAGCAGTCTTCAGTGTAAGGCAGCTGAGACGACCGCTATAGAGTGTGATTTAAAAGTGAAATAAAGAGCAAGTACCACTGCATCAATTCATCGAAATTCATATAGGTCTATTACAGACTCTTATGATATGTCAAATCTTTATTCATATAGGTTTATTACAGTCTCTATGGTATGCCAAGTCCTTATTCAAATAGGTTTATTACAGACTCTATGGTATGCCAAGTCCTTATTCATATAGGTCTATTACAGACTTATGATATGTCACATCCTTATTCATGTAGGTTTATTACGGACTCTATGGTATGCCAAGTCCTTATTCATATAGGTTTATTACAGTCTCTATGGTATGCCAAGTCCTTATTCATATAGGTCTATTACAGACTCTTATGATGTGTCAAATACTTATTCATATAGGTCTATTACAGACTCTTATGATATGTCAAATACTTATTCATATAGGTTTATTACAGTCTCTATGGTATGTCAAATCTTTATTCATATAGGTTTATTACAGTCTCTATGATGTGTCAAGTCCTAATTCATATAGGTCTATTACAGACTCTTATGATATGTCAAATCTGCAGTCAATATCGACGTATCATTTCCCAATTAATTGCTCAATGAAATGAAACAGTCCACATATTATAAAAAACCAAAAATATATTTCTCATTAGTACATACATATATTTAACACAAATAATATTACAAGGTAGGCACTAACATAAATCGATCTATGACTACCTCGGCGAATATTTAGGATTGTCTGGTGCATATGTGAAACTCCTCAACTCGTACGATACGCCATTTTGATTCTCATAACCTATCTCCTTCATTTCGCTCCTTTCAAAGTCACCGCAACCGCCAAAAACTCTGTTCGGCGTGTGATTGGCAGATCTACCGTCGTTATTATTGGTCAATTTCAAATCTGTTCCATTCTGATTGGCCGACGCCGAGTTACGTTTGTTCAATTCGGCGGTTTGGTCCGTCGCTGCGCTGTGATTGGTCGGATTCTCGTTCCCTTTCTTCTGACTGGTTGGAATGGGGCGGAATATTGCGGAATGTGCTGTAGCTGTGTCTAAATCTGCCTTCCTAGATACTAATATACGTATATCCGTGTGAAGGTACAGTTTACCGGATTTCGAAGTCATAAATCTGAAACGATACAATTTATAATTGGGATAAGACTTATTGGTTTCATAATAACAGAGATAAGGCAGTCAAATTACAGAATAAGAGGCCTGGAATGGCAACACATGAGTGAGCTTACCCAAAAACAAGCCTTGGCTTTATATTATCATTACATAGTATCAAAGTCGCTGTCGCTGACTGTCCGTCCCTATGTATGTTTAAATCTTTAAAACTACGCAACGGATTTTGAAGCGCTTTTTTTTTAATAGATAGAGTGATTCAAGAGGAAGGTTTATATATATAATACATGTACACCCGTGCGAAGCCAGGGCGAGTAGCTAGTTAATATTATTGTTAAGCTTGTGAGTATGGATGGATATTTATGACTCTTTCACGAAAAAACTTCTGAACGGATTTTGTTTTTTTTTCGAATTTTAAAGTTGAATAAATACAAAAAAAACACCAACCGTAAGTGTATAAGATACCGCAGCCACTTATGCAAGTTGTGGGGGTCGGGCACCGCCGCGGGGTCGGCCCCGGCCGGCATGTACAGGGTGCGCTGGCGGAGGAACGTCCTCGCCAGGGGAGGCATGTTGGTCAGCTCGTACAGCACCACGAACATCTTGACCAGTGTGCCGTGCGGGTTGAACAGCGACACTTGGATCGTCCCGGAGCGGGCCACGCGGTACCCGGACGGACCCAGGTTTATGTGACCCTGGAAATAATGTACTTTGTTAAGGATTTTAGGAAAATATTAGACGAAAATTAGGTTAGGTCAAGTCAGGGAGTTAAGTTAGGAGATCTCGTTGGAAGGTTTTTGGATTTTTGGCACATTTTTGTTGTTTTGTTTGTTTGTTTGTCTTTCCTTGTTTGTTTGTTTGCTTTCTTTTAATGGTATTTGTATATATAGTTAGGTTAGGTTCTGTACATAGTTGGACGTAAAAAAAAAAAAAAAAAGGTTTTGGGGATCCTCGTCGATATCATTTTTGGGTGGGTTTTTGGATTTTTAGGTTGAGGTGTTTCTTTTTTGGCGCTAGCGCAATATATTATCTTTCTTTCTTTTCTTTTCTTATCTTTTAATTGTTAGGTTAGTTAGGTTTTGTACATATATAGTTAGGTTAGGTCAATTAGGTTCAGGTAGGTCCCGATCTCAGCCCGAAGCAGTTCGGGTTCCGAGAGGGGCGCTCAACGATTGACGCGATCTCGCGTGTGCGCTCCCTCTCGGAAGAGGCGACGTCCCAGGGTGGGGTGTTGTTGGCGGTCTCGTTGGATATAAAGAACGCCTTCAACACCCTGCCCTTTGCGACTATTAGGGAGGCGCTGAAATACCATCGCGCGCCTCCCTACATTCGGGACGTGATCGGGGCCTATCTCGAAGACAGGTCTGTGCTATGCACGGGGCGGAACGGCGTTGTAGTGCCGAGGGACATGCAACGCGGTGTTCCACAGGGGTCGGTTCTGGGCCCGATCCTGTGGAACATCGGGTATGATTGGAACCTGCGGGGCGCCCTTTTAACGGGCACTGACCTCGTGTGTTACGCGGATGACACCTTGGTCACTGCCCGGGGGCGGGACCTACGGGAGGCTACCCGCTTTGCCACGGCAAGCGTGGCACTGGTCGTCGGCCGAATTAGAAGGCTTGGGCTCCAGGTGGCGCTGGAGAAGACCGAGGTCCTATGTTTTCATGGGCCTCGGCGTGCGCCACCTCCGGATGCCCAGCTGGTCGTCAGTGGCCAGAGGGTGGGGGTCAAGCCCTGTATTCGATACTTGGGGCTTGACCTGGACAGTCGTTGGAGCTTCCGCGCTCACTTTCGGAACCTGGTCCCTCGCCTTATGGCAGCCGCCGGCGCTCTTAGCTGGCTGCTGCCAAACGTGAGGGGCCCGGGAGAAGGTTCCCGCCGCCTATACCTCGGCGTGGTGCGGTCCATGGCCCTGTACGGAGCCCCCATCTGGGTGGGGGCCCTAGGTAGGGAAAATGTGGCCTGCCTTAACAGGCCACACAGGGTCATGGCCATACGGGCCATAAGAGGCTACCGCACCATATCCGGGGAAGCGGCGGGTCTGCTGGCGGGGTCTCCTCCGTGGGACTTGGTAGCGGAGCTCCACGCGTCAGTGTATCACTGGCGCGCGGAGCGACGTTCCATGGGGGAGGCACCCGCTGGCCACGAGATTGGAGCGCGGAGGTCCGACTTTCGGCGGATCCTCAGGATCAGGTGGAGAGAAAGGCTGGCCAGTCCATCGGCCGGCCTGAGGACCGTCGAGGCTGTCCGTCCCATCCTCAAAAGGTGGATGAATAGGAGATGGCCACTGACGTACCGCATGACGCAGATACTGTCCGGGCACGGGTGCTTCGGGCGGTATCTGTGTCATGTGGCGAGGAAGGAGCCGACGACCGGCTGCCACGAGTGCGGAGGTGTGGAGGACACGGCGCAACACACGCTGGACGAATGTCCAGCGTTCGAGAGTGAGCGCCGTGTCCTCACACGAATAGTGGGGGACGATCTCTCGCTGCCGAATTTAGTTCGGAGGATGGTCAGTAGCGAGAGATCGTGGCTGGCGGTGAGCTCCTTCTGCGAGGAAGTTATCTCGCGGAAGGAGGCGGCGGAAAGGGAGCGGGAGCCAGCTCGTCCCGCTTCCCTCCGCCGCAGAAGAGCCAGGCCTAGAGGTGGGAGCGTATCCAACTCCGCCCCCCTCTATCCCCCACTGGGGCCGGGGTGACTGCCTTGAGGGAGGCAGTCCCCCAATCCAAAGGCCCCGGAGGTGTGCGCGTGTACCCACACGCCTCCACAATGGAGTAGGGCGAAATAGGTCGCCCTAACCACAAAACGAGATGGGGCCTGCCCTACAACATCTACAGGGCGGGCCGTCGCCGTCGGAGCTGGGGTAGAATGCACTTGCGAATCCCCTGGCTCCGGCATAGGCGCTCGTAGGTACACCGTGTGGTTTTTTAGTGGGTACAAGTCCCACACACCACCTCGCCATCCCTCCGGCGGGGTGACGGTCTTTTGAAGATTTTTCCACACGTTAAAAAAAAAAAAAAAAAAAAAAAAAAAAAAAAAAAAAAAAAAAAAAAAAAAAAAAGGTCAATTAGGTTAGTTAGGTTGAGGTTGGGTCGCGTGTTCGATCCCTCGCACGGCACAAACATTTGTATTCATGAATATGATTTTTGTTTTTTGGACCACATTTTTTGGATTTTGATTGGTTTTTAAGCGCAACCCTTTCGTGTTTATTTGTTTGTTTCTTTCGTCTTTTCTTTCCTTCTTTTTTATCTTTTTATTTTATTATGTTATATATAGTTAGGTTAGGTTAGGTTTTGTACATAGTTAGGTTAGTTAGGTTAAGTATTTTTTTTTCTATCTTGTGTTGTGCTGAGGTGTTTGTGGTGATTTCACCGGGAGCGGCTGCACTGTACAGGGGGTCACCCTTGCCCAGTGTGTCCGCTCCGGGGGAAACCCCGGAGTAGTTTTTGAGGCGCTAGCCTCCCAAACACCCTCCCAACTTAGGTTGGGAGTGGTCATCTGTTGGTTGCAGGCTGAGTTCCAGCGGGCACCAAACCTACTTACTCCCGTTCCCCGGGGGGGGTAATGAGGAGTTTCCATCCCCTTGGTCTGCTGAGTTCTGGTCCATGTCAGACTCAGTAACTGAGGCGGATTTGGAGATGGAGGACCAACCGGTGAGGTCGCGGCCCGTCTCGCGGCCCAGGTCACGGGCATCTCGTCCGTCATCGGCGTCGTCGACGCGCTCGACGCGCTCGACGCGATCTATGCTGGTGGAGGACGAGTTGTCCGGATGTTTGGTGTCCCGTGATGACGGGCTCACGAGGACGGCCGTTGCTAAGCGGCCACACGCAGATGGGGCGGGTCCCTCCGGGGCGATGGGTAGTGGTACCCAACCATCTAAAATACCCTGCTCCTCGTCCCGGGGCGGAAAGCCTCCCTCAAATACGGAGAGAGAGAAGGCTCCTGCGACATTGCCGGTGTCCCAGCAGGAAAGCCGACGGACCGGGCTCCTCCCTGATGGCGGCGTGGTGTTTGTCCGCCCCAAGGAGGTCTCTTCAGCGAAGAGGGTGGAGCCCTCTAAGGGTGAGATGGACTCGCTCGCCGTCTTCAGGGAGGAGATGGGAGACAAACTGCGGTCAATCCTGCACACCGTGCAAAAGTGCCGCAACATAAAAGGTGCTGAGGTGGGCCTCCTAAAGAAAAATATAGGAGATATCTTCCTCATGGCAGAGAGGTTGGATCCCGAGGTCCCTGTGGATGAAACCTTCTCCACGTGGGCGGTCGAGCGGCGGAGCGTCAACGACGAACTGGCCAAGCTCCGCAAGGCCAACGATGACCTTCGTCGCCAAGTGGAGGAACTTACCCGCCTGGCTAAGTCCCAACCCCGAACCCTTTCGGTTGCCTCCTCGGCTCCCAAGGAACCGACGAAGGGGAGCATCACAGTCCCTGCTCCTGCGCCGAGTGATGTCGAGGCATTCAGGGCGGATATCTTGGAGTCGGCCGGCCGCTTAATTTCGGCCCAGGTGGAGGAACAGATGAGGAAGGGCTTCATCCAGTTGCGGGCCCTTCTGGACAAGTCCTCCCCGGCGCCGACTATCCGCCCTGAGTACCGCCCGCCACTTCAAAGCGACGGGCAGTACGAGGTTCTGTCACGTCTGCCTGGCGCAGGGGGACCAGGATTTAGGGACGCTCCCCATCTGCAGGGAAGTCGGGGTGCAGACTTCCCACGTCTGGAGAAGCGTCAGCCCGCCAACCGTCCGGTTTCCGACGGTCAGCAGCCGGGCCCGTCGGGCGTGGGACGCGCGCAAGAAGGGTGGAACACGGTGGTGAAGCGGGGCGGTAAAACCCGCACCGTTCCCGAGAGACAGACTCAGAGCACCCAGAGCACACAGAGGAGCTCTGGGGCTGCCTCTCAGGGAAAGAAGAGCAAGCAGGCCCCGCCATCACCGTCCAAACTGCGTGCACCGCGATCAGCGGCTGTGGTGGTTACCCTCGCTCCGGGGGCGGAGGCTGGCGGGCTGACGTACACGGATGTGCTCAAGGAGGCGAAGAGCAAAATAGACCTCGCCTCCTTGGGGATTGGAAGCTTACGCTTTAAGACCGCGGCTACTGGGGCCCGTATACTGGAAATACCAGGGTCCCAGACGGGAGAACAGGCCGACGCGCTTGCGTCGAAATTCCAGGAGGTTTTCCCGGCGGATACCGTCCGCATCTCCAGGCCCGTCAAAACGGCCGAAATGAGAGTGATGGGCCTGGACGACGGTACCGACGGGGAAGAGGTGGCAGCCGCCGTAGCCCAGCAAGGCGAGTGTGCGGCGGCCGCCGTTAAGGTCGGAGAAATTCGACGAGGCGCGTCAGGCCTGGGCACCTGCTGGGTGCGGGCCCCACTAGCCGCGGTCAAGCGGATCACGACGGCAGGCCGGATCAAGATCGGCTGGGTGTCCGCTGCTGCGGAACTGCTGCGGCAGAAGCCGCTCCGGTGCTATCGGTGCCTCGAGAGCGGGCACGTGTTGGCAAGGTGCTCGCACGAGGAGGACCGGAGTGGCTTATGCTACCGGTGTGGAGAACCCGGCCACAAAGCGGCTGGGTGCATGGCGACTCCACACTGCGTGGTATGCGCAGCGGCGGGTCGCCCGGCCGATCACCGGGTGGGGGCCAAAAAGTGCCCCCAATCCCGGTCCAAGAGAGCGAGGGGATCCGCACTGTCGTCGGCCCG